GATGTGTATATATGTATTGTGTGTGGCTAGGACTATTGTTTGCTATCAACGTTTATTTATTTTATGCTGGGTGTTGTTTGATATTGTAGTTGTTTATGGTGATGCCATCCCTTTTGGATGGAGAATAAAGTTCTGTAAAGTTTAAACCAAGCTGTGGCAGCCTGTCCCATTGCAGGGCTGTCATTGCTCCAGACCGCCACTAGAGGACACTAGAGAGAGCCTAACGACGTACTGTAATTAGGTTGCGTGGGCCTAAACCTACTAATTGCATTACTGAATAATTGACTAGAGTGCTTTGTCACATGGGTTTAATATGGGAGAGTCCACATTTTGTACGTGGGCTAAATTAGTGAGTTTTGCATATTGAAGGCTGCATCACTGCTGAGTAGATGGGAGAGGTTTTTGTTTTTGTGGTATACAGTATGTTGTTGAATTTTGAAGAAATCTTTTTTGCTCCTAAGGGAATAATAATAATAATAATAATAATAATAATAATAATAATAATAATAAATGTGTAGCATCTACCTGGATGACGTGAAGGCAGCCAGTGTGCGCCAGTACACTCCCCACACACAAGCTCTCAGTGGTGAGGAGAGCAGAGTAATGAAGACAGTTCAGAGATGGGGATTATTAGGAGGCCATGACTGGTAAAGGCCAGGGGTAAATTTGATAAGAAAAGATCACTTTATTAGCCATATACAGTTTCTTACATTAGGAATTCATCTTTTCACATAATCCCAGCTTGCTCTCCCAGCCAGGACACTGGGGTTACACCATTACTCTCTTTGAGATACGCCCTAGGATTTTTAATGACCACAGAGACCTCAGTTTTACAGTACATCTCATAAGACGAATAGAGCCTTTTTTACAGTTTAGTGTTCCCATCACTATACTGAGGCATCAGGACCCACATAGACCACAGGGTGAGCACCCCCTACTGGTCCCACTAACACCACTTTCAGCAGCAGCCTTAGCTTTCCCAGGAGGTCTCCCATCCAGGTACTGACCAGGCTCACAGCTGCTGAGCTTCAGTGGGCTGCCAGCTGTGAGGTGCAGGGTGGTAATATACTCTATCTGACAATAATATGATACAGCAACATCTCAATACTGTGATATAAAACAACATTTAACAACATAGCTCAGTCAGAACTCAATCAAATATCATCAGATTAAAAACAGACCATTAGCTGGTAAAGTGTCTAAAAACAATACAGCAACAATAATAAGATCCCCACACCTGCAAACCATCATTTTATTTGCTCCAGAATTGAATGTTTTTAGGTATAAATAGAGTAAGTGCTCTCTTAGTCTTTAATTGAATGTTTGAAGGCCTGCTTGCTGGGATAGGCTCCAGCACTGGCCTGTATTGTGTTTAGAAAATGGATGAACTGATGTTGAAGGATTCTGTGGGCCTGGAATATTTAATTCATAAGACTTGTTAAGGTGTTTTATGCAGCACCACTTAAGGGTGGCAATACCCACTTTCACTATAAGTGCATGGCTAATATGAAGAAGAAAAAGTGTGTTCTGTTTGGAAATGTAGTTTAAACAGGAGAACAGAATTTCACTAGGCATTTCTGGTGCGCTTTCATGTGCAAGAGTCTCCAAGAGAGGGCTATTTATATAGCACACTTTAAAAGGATATCAACTGTACAATTACATCTACATAGGGAAAGCATTCCTATAGGCTGTGCTATTTATTGTAACTGTTTTGGAAAGCAATCTTACATTTTTATATGCAAAAACAACACAAGATATGTGAAATTGTAATTGAACACACAAGTAATGATATAATATGTGTCCATCTGGTACAGTTTCAGAGAGGATGTATGCAAGTAGCAGCCAATAACTGCCTTGCCAGACAGTCTGTCTGTTGGCAATGACAAACTTGTGTGCACTGCTTCCAGTGCAGGTTTGATTTCTCGCCAGCCCACCAGTACAGTATGTAACTTCAATATATAGACTTGTGTGGGTTCATTTACCGTATAGTGCCTTGCAAAAACCTTCCTATTTTATTAAATGAAAAAGTCTGTGCTCTTTTTAACTTTTTTTTAACCCACTGAATGTCATTTGTTTCAAAAGTTAAACACATTTCCTGAGTAACAGGGCAAGAACGAAGCAGAGCACACACAAATAGCAAGAAACCAGGCTCGCTTCTCATTAACAATTCAGTTTAAGGCTACTTTATGCTACAATATAGTGCATATTTTCCACCCAGTTGGGGTTAGTGAAGTCAGAACATGTGGCTGCAATTGATTTAGATGTGTAGTAGTTTTATTCAAACCCTGAAGGCTCCAGCTGAAGACTTCTCAGGGCCAGATAAGTGGCAGTCAATGTCAGCAAAAACTAGAGAGAAAAAACTGAAATATGGCATGTGGATTGCATCAGTCTTCAGACCCGTGAACTCAATAATCAGTGGAAACACCTTTGACAGCAATTACAGCCACAGGTCTTTTTCAGTAAGTCTCCACCAGCAGTGCACACTGGCCTTTGTGTAAAACCTCCTTCTCTGCAAAACTGTCCGAGCTCCTCCACGCTGCTTGGGGATTACCTACAAACAGCAGTTTTAAAGCCTTTCCACAGATTCTCAATAAGATACAAGACAGGACCTGGAGTGAGCCAGTCACAAACATTCCCCTTCTTACTCTCAAGCCCCTCCAGTGTAGGTCTGGATCACTGCCTTGCTAAACGTACAAAGATTTGTCTCACTTGTACACCTGAAGCACAGTCTCCTCTAAGATTCGCTAGTACTGTGCTTTCTTTATCTTCCCACTATGATTATTTTTTTGTGGGTGGAGCGGTGGCTCTGCACCTGTGGCTGGAAGGTTGCCAGTTCGTATCCCATGGCTGAAATGTTTTTTTCAGTTCTGTACGTACCCCTTTGTGGAGTGGCCCTACGAATATTTTCTTCCATCTCTGCCACTGAACTCCGCAACTCTTTTAAAGTCCCCATTGGCCTCACAGTGACAGCCCTACCCAGTTTGCTGCTTACTGTACAAGTGCAATTAAATGCTTATTTGCATGTGTGATCCAATACAAAGACATTAAGGAAACACCAAAAGATCAACATCATTCAACTAGAATAAAAGTCAGCACAGGTAGTGGGCAAAAAAACACCAGTGTGAGTCAGTGAATCTGCATGTTTGTTTCAGAGGGACGGTCTGATCCGTGCCCTGTCTGGGTGCCTTCCACTTTCTACTGACATGAACCTCATCATGTTCAAGGAGACTTTAGGTGTCTTATTCTAATGTTTTATACCCGTCTCCTGATCTGGGCCTTTGTCCCCAAGTTGCTTTGCAATCTCTCTTCTTCATGACATGAGTTTTCCTTTGAACCCCTGCCTTAACTGATTGACGGGTCAGCTTCTTAGCTTCGTCAGCTTGGAGTTTGGGTGACTCAGCCACATACGGAAATCAATAAGCTCATCTATCACCTGGTCATTTTTGTCAGATCAGTGCTGGTGCTTCCTGGTCTACAATTCAAGCGTCTCTTCAGAGGAACTGTTTGTATTCGTCCTGATGTCTTAGTAAGTGGTGTGAACCCTTTTTCTTCCGTTCTTGGGTTAGGCTTGAGGGTTTTACCTAATACGTACTGTACTTGAAAACCCTTTTTGACGGATCCCTCAGTGCTTTGACATTGATTTGCTGTGGACATTGCCTTTTCTGCAGCAGATGTTTGGAAGTTGGTTTAACAGCTATAATCTGTTACTGGGGTCCATGGGTTTCCTGTGCTATTTTGTGTCATGGGGTTCTGCGTGATGGGTAGACAGTGCTGAATGTTGTGCTTGCTGGCAAACAGAAAAGGGCAGTTATGCACTGTAGGTGAACCGTCTTGCCTGCGAGTACGTCAATGGCTCTGGGGGATATAAAGAACCATTTGGGGGAGGTTATACAGTAACACCTTGAAAAATGGCTTAGGTGGTGCTGTCGGCTACAAAGTCAAAAGATTCCCGCTTTGAGGACCACGAACCGTGACACTCGTAATGTATTACAGTTTTATTCTTCTTAGAAGAAATCACTATTCTTAATGCTGCGGAAGTGTCGTAATAACCCTCTCTGTTCAGACGTTTACAATACTTTTCGCCAAGAGCATCTGATTCGGTTGCTGCTGCTCTTGAGCTCAATTGTTGAGAGTTTTGACGCACTTCCTCTCGTTCATTCCAGCGCCGCCTGCCCATCCTGGAGAGAAACGCGGCTCGCTGGTCCAGCTGAGCCAACGACAATAACAGGGGGACTGGATGCCTTTTCATTTAATCATTATAGTCCCATGCAAAATGTGGTGCAGTAGTATCGCGATATCGCTAGCTGCAGCGCCCGGCTGTCGTGGGCTTAGCAGCTGTTGTAACAATGCGGTCGTAGTGGTAGTTTTCTGTTTTCGCATGTAAGAATAGTTCACTGCCCTAAGCTTGCCAAGAACGGAATGCTGAAATCTGATGTCCACATGAAGAACACGAATCTTTCAGGCACATGTACTGTACAGTAACTCGCAGTCGAAAAACCTCTCGCCAGTGCATGTTCATGCCCTGGACATCACGAGTAGGGAGAGGCGACTGGAGACGGTAAAAAGCGCAGCGTGTTTGCGTCTGAATCAGAGTGCCCTCACGGTGCACCGGAGAACACTGTATTCACAGGATACTTTTATAACCGAATATGTTACACTGTAACATTTGGGGTGGGAGTCCGTACAATGCCCTAGTGGTGATGCAGAGTACAGAACGTCGCCAGACATCCAGAATTGTCTTGTGGTTTTGTTGGATTTAAAAACGTGGTACTAAAGTCCACGCTCGCTCGGGTTTTTTTTTTTGTCCTGCCCATGGGGCGCTTCTAATTTAATTACACGGACTCGTACTGCCTATACACAATCTCAGCTCAGGTCACCAGCAGACGCCACCTAACCTGTTTACACATCAGCCCCCCCCCCAACTCCCCCTTCTTCACGGCTGTACCCGACTATTGGCCCTCGGTGAGGCTGTGAAACCGCCAATTGGCTCCGGGAGCCGTCAATCACAGTGCTGGTCCCGTTAGTTTCATTGTGGAGCTGCAGCAGCTGCGCCATCATCTGTTACAGTGAGCAGAGGAGGCGAGGGACCGGTGGGGGGGCATTATAATAAAGCCGTCTCCACAAAATATTGTTTACAAGCAAAGACGAAAATCGCTGTGAGGACGGCGATCATGGGACGTGTGATGCTTTAATCATCTTTCATTTCAGGTAAAGTATTATGGCGGGAGCGTCTCATTTTAACAAGTTAAATTTTGTTGTAGCATATAATGGGTGAAGGGAAAACGTAATTAAGCGGCAAATAATTTAAGTGCAACGCAAAATACGTTGCGGGACACGTGAAATTCGTCCGCTAGAGCCTGAAGGTGCATCTCTGCGGCGGACGCGGTGATGCCCGTTTCCCCAGCGCCTTGGTTTTTAAAAACGCTGGGGGCTTTATTACGGATGCGTTTGATGCGCTACCAGATGGAGTACACCGCGCAAAATTGATGCCACTCGACTTTTCGGCAAGGCAGGCTGTAACGAAAGTGCAGTATTTGTGTCTACGGGAGCTCAGTCAATGTGCTGTGTCTGCAAAAAGCGGGAGCGAACCGTGATTTGCCCTCGTCTTCCTTTACCGCATACAGCAATTCGTGGTGTATTGTTCGTGCGTCTTGCCTGTTTCTTTTCTTTGCGGAGACTCATTCCAGCACTGGTGTCGTTTCCAGATGCATGTTTTGGTCGGTCCCTGGCTTTGCGGGTCGACTGCTTGTTGGTGTCACTGAGAGCAGCGGTCCCACCTACAAGCATCCTATCGCCGCTGCTAGTCTGCTGATGGTTATAATGTGACAGGGAGTGCAAAAACTGGCTCTTGGATGCTGTAGCGCTAGTTTCAGTCTCTCTACCCTTGGCCTGCCTGACGCTCTTCTTAGCTCCCAGCTGCTCCGTGTAAAAAAACAACAACAAACAAACCTCTAACCCGTCTGGACGTTAGTGGTCAAAACAAAGCCGGTTGGAATTGTTTGGTTAAACATTCTCTCTGATTACGTGGCCTGTATTGCCCAGCACTGCATGGATGTACTGTGTATTATCTGACTAAATTATGACCCACATAATCGCGTTCACCAGACCTGAGTTGGTGGTGTTGATATTCAGAGTGTTTTACTGTGAGGAACGTCAGTTGACTGACATGTTCAATCGAATTGATTGATGGTTTTAATTTATATTCATTCAGAGGAGGCTAAACACCTTAACCTCATTTTATATAACTTCACTGTTAGCATTTTGTAATTTCACGTATGTATATGGAGAAACCATTTGTTTATCATTCAAGGTTGTATTTAATTTTGCTTCTTGAGGGGTAAAGGAGAGCCTGGAGTGAGTCACACCTCTAAGTTAGTATCTGGAAGACTGGAAGACCTAATGAGTTTAGGTGGATCTTATGTTGATTGAATTGTAGAAGGAGCTCCTGTCCTTTTTAATTGGGGTCATTCAAAACATTGAACCTCACATCCTCCACACATCCTTTCTTTCCCAGAAAGGAATGAGAAATAAGAGCACTGCTAGCTCACATCCGGTACATCTTAATGTTTGGAGAGATGTCTGTGTTCTGGATGAAGTTTGAGTTTTAGTGTTGTTGTTATAAGATTATTTTTTTTTTGGTCAAGTGAATGAAGGTGACTGAAAGAAAAGGCTGGTCTCACAAGCCGGAGCGTCTTGTTATCGAATTCTCTACTTTATTGTTTGAAATCTAATTTGGTGACTCTTACAGTAGGTGCTCTGCTGTGCTCTCAGCTCTGTGCTTGATGAAGATGCCTGTCTATTGAAAACGTTGATAATATGGTTCTGAGGAGCAGTTCACTGAAAATGGAAACCAATGATATGAAAGAAGTTAAAAAGCATTATTGTGCAATTAATTCTTAGTGTTTGTGTTTACCAGATCTCCACAGGATGATCTTCTTTTTTTTTTTTCTGTGGCCAAACAGCCCTCGTGCAGCTTAGACTTTTATTGCAATGTCTATAAAAGAAGTCAGTCAAAAGGATATAATGAATCTAGCAGGTCTGGTCATTATGGTCTGTTTATTTCATTGCACATCTCCACAGTTCACAAGATCTCCTCAGCTTCCACAACTCAAACCGGCCTTATCATCTGAAATGTACCCACTGGCAATGTGAGCCTGCTGAACATACCAGATGCTTTTAGTCATCTCGGCTCAGGTTTGATTTCAAAGAAGTGCTTTTCTCTCACTAATGGGCGCAATCCTGTGAACCGTGCAGTGTATCAGCGACGCTGGGATGTTTTCACCACTGCGTAATGTCGAAGGAGAAATATATCTTTCAGCCTGGCCCGCTGAGATTAAAAGTTTACTGCGTCCCCAAGCGAAGCTGCATCTATTCTTAAGAGCCATATTAAAGAAGCAAATATTTTTTTAAATAAAATATTGATGCAGATTAGTGTACTAAGATGCAACATGTTACTTTTGTGATGTCCTCTTTGTATTTCCTTGGTAAAATGCCAGAGCAGGACAAACAGTTGGGCTATGTGAACAGTGGATGTCTGTAGTTTCACTTGTGTGTTTCAGTGCTGTATTAAATGCCCTGCTTGTCAGAGTTGTATCATTCTCTGGAGGAGTGGAAATCGTGTCACTTTGTGTGTATGTGACAGTAAAAGGGGTCTAATTCCAGCGTGCAGTAAATTGTTTTGAATTATCCGAATTATGTTGGTTATTTTTGCAGTGTTGTGCGGCTGCAGTCTCATAACATTTGCAAAATAATTCTGAATCTCAACGGTATGTTACCATCTGCTGTTTTGATAGGAACATCTTGTAAATCTGATTTTTTTTTACTACTGAATATTTTTCTGTGTGGAAAGAGTCACAATGTCTTTCATTAAGGAGATGTATGGAACTAAGACTGCTGACAAAATTTGGAATATTTGCCTTTTTTTAGTTGATGACTGTGGCTGTGAATTTGCCTTATTATCCCAGTTATTGTTCGGGTACATTTTCACATGCGGTAAGTAGTAGTGTAAATGGGGGGTGCAAAGATAGCATGATTTTACAAGACGCAAAATGCTTTCGCTGGGATTGGACTGGTGATGGGCTCTGTCAGGGCAGAGATGACCCAGACTCTTCCAGTTTTTGTATTCGCATACTGCATTGGGAGCTGCTGCACCCCTCTCCATAGTAATAAGACCCTTTTTTACCTCATGCGCTACGATTTTTCAAGGGGGTTTTCTGCCTGTGACGATGATTATCTGTCCAGAAAAGTAGGGTTTTTGCTCATGACAGTGGCCCGGCTCCCAGCTCCTATACTAGGGGAGGATGGAAATTGATCTTGGCTGTAAGAATTTGAGACCCCTTCCTGCCTTGAATCAGGAGAGAGATAGTTCTGCAAAGTAATAAAGACTATAAACGAGTGAAGACCGCTCAGCCCATGTAGCTTGTTTAGTTGCTGCTAGTGAATTGGTCTGAAGGGTCTCATCCATCCCTTTCTTGAATGCAGCCAGGGTATCCATCGACTTTGACAGAATGACGGTGTAGTTTTTTTCAGGTACCGACCACACTTTGAATTAAAAAGGTGCCTTCTCTTCACCGTTTTTACACAAGTTCTGTTTACTTGTTTTGACACCGTTCGCTGTGTTTTCCACTTGTGGACTCTGGTTCGTGTTTCATTATCAAAGTCAGCTCTTCTTCAGAATGAACAATGGCTTAGCGAATTTGAAATACTTGAATCAGGTCTTTGCATAGTCTTCTCTCTTCAAGACTAAAAAGGTTGGATTCTTTAAGCCTCGAGATATTTCTGGTCGATCTTTTCTGGATTGGTTCCTCGGCACCAATGTGTTTTTTGTAAGACTGTCACCAACATTTCACACAGTATTCTGTGTGAGGTCTTATTAGACGTCTATTCTTGGATTTAAACGCACTTTTCTGTAGTTTCTGTTTGTGAACTCTGGTTCACATTTCACTGTCAATTCTGAAAAAGTCTTATGGTTTAACTTAGTCAGTGCCTTTAAAGAGTAACCTCAGTTCTCTTTTGCCTGGTCTATTTAAAGTGGGGTATTTCCTTCAAATATGGACATTTGAGTTCTTGCATATGTGTAGTGTTTTAAATTCATCCCTGAATTTAAGATTATTGTTTGATTTCTTTAGTTATTGGACATAATCATTTAGAACTCCATCACTGTTCATTCACAGTAACAAATTAAACATATTAATGATTGTTCATGGTAAAATATTTATTGTAAGAATTTTAAAAAACATATTAAATGCATATCCCAAGGTTCTTTTTTTTTTTCTAGACTACTGTCGGTAGTCCTGTCTCTTCCTGTGTTATTCTGAACTGGAAAGTGCTCCACACTATTTCATCACAGTTCTCTCAGCCTTACTGTTCACATCTCTCGAAAGATGTGTGATGCGTTAGAGTTTTTACAAACTGTATACAATCAGCTGTCATCACAGATAAGGAATTGCACATTTGTAGACGGGTTTAAACTTGCTGTTGTTTGTTTATCTTTAGGTCAGTATACAGTGTTTATTAATAAACATGCTTCACCAAGCACTAGATAAATTAAGCTCAACATTACACATTTTTCACCAGGTGACAAGTTTCTAATTAGCCCTAGAGCATATGGAGCACATTGCTGATGTAAGAAGACCAATATACACCAGGGGAGTGTAAGCCGTCAGCTTGCACGTCCTCTCCCTGGCTGTCGTTGTAAGAACATACCCCAGTGCGGCAGTCTGGTGCAGTTTGAGACGTCATGCTTGACTTGTAGAAAACCGACTTTGAGCGGTAGAGGAGAGGGACAGAGTTCCAGTTGGAGCTGGAGCAGTCTCGATCAGAAGCCTTCTAGCACGGCACTTCTTCACTTCCCAGATCTGCCTGTTTCTAAGTGACATTTAGACGAGCTGCATTATGGAACGTCTGGAATATTTGCCAGATTTTTTTCCGTTCTCAACATGTCTGTAAGTGGCCTGCAGATGTTTGTGCCGGACGGTAAAAGTTACTGGGAATAATTGTTCACATGGCCTTCAAGTTCCAGAGGGGTTTTGTTGTTTAGACGATGTGTGCAGAAGTGTAATCCCTGAAGCTGGACCAAGCGCAGAGTAAAAAAAAAACAATGCGCGTAGTGTTTTTGTTTTTAGCATAATAATTCTGAGAAAGCTTTGCTGTTATTCCACATTCGTATGTTGAGTGTTTCTGCAGGGTTGTCTAGGCTTTGATTGTCT